TGCCCCACACGTAGTCACTGCAATAGTACTGACTGCATCCCCTGTGCTGTACCTTACATGCCCCCTGCTGACTTTACTGAATTTACTTTGAATCCCTTTTCCTCTTTTCTTTCTCACCTTGTCTACTCTCGCCAATCAATTAAATAAGCGTATTTGGCTTCTAACTTTGTGAATGTGAAGTGTTTTGTTTTAGTTATATCAGTTGATAGGACTTCATGCCTTAAAACAATTTCCTGCTTTCATATCCCCTTCTCAGTGTTGTCAGTGCTCAGGAAGTAATTATTTTAGTTCTCTGACTCACTGTTGTTATTGCCTTTTGAAGAGTTTTGTGTCCCAAGCCCTGTCCTTATGTGGCGTGAGCACTTAAGCACAGTTGCTTAATGCTCTTAAATCAAGGACTTTGGCTGCTCTAGGAAGCAGGGCTCTTTCAGCTCCTGCATCCCTATGGGATGGTTCGAGGTGGATGGTTATGGCCTTAAGTGCAGCTCAGATTTTCTTTCTTTTTTGTTGTTGTTTTGTTATTCCTTACCCTAGGGTACTTTTTCCATTGATCTTTTTGTTTGTTTGTTTTAGAGAGAGTGGAAGGGGGGAGGGAGGAGGAGAGAGAGAAACATCCATGTGAAAGAGATACTTTGACCAGTTGCCTTCCACAGGCACCCCAATCAGGGGTGGGAATGAACCTGCACCCCAGGTACATGCCCTTGGAAGCAAACCTGCGACTCGTCAGTGGGTGGGCCAACACTCTATCCACTGAGCCACGGCTCAGATTCCCTTTTAAAGATAGTTTTAATCTTTTGTTGTAGTTAATTCTCAGTTTTTGTTTTCCACCCAACAGGATTAAAAAGCATAATATTAGTATTTTTTAGTCTTGATGGTGTTTTTCATATGCAACATACTAAATGATATCTGGGGCTTGAACTCTCTAGAAACTCTGATGTAGCAGGAGCAAAGGAGTGCCCGTTGCACCCCTGGATGTGCGAAACAACTGAACACTTCTTTGTTGTTGGCAGGGAAGTTGCAGCATTTTCACTGCACAATTTATTTGCCTTTTAGAAACACTAAGTTGGAAGACTGGGTCTGACACCTATTGATCCTTGGAGTTTGTTGGTACGATCCTTCGGCCACATTGTACACTGAGCGAAGGGGTGAGTGCCACCCAGCTCTGCTGCTGTGGGATGTAGTGATGATAGGGTGCTGGAGGGTCATTCTGAGCCACCGAGGAGGTCACTCCAAGCTACCACTTGCTTCATTTCCTCTTGCGTGCTTTCTTATCTCCTTCTGATCCCCGTATCTCCTCCTGAGAGGACCACTTAGGACCTACAGACATTACTTAAGAGCACCAACAAACTCCAAGGATAAACAGGTGGCAGCTAGTGAGGGTCCTCTGTCTCTAAGAGGACCTTGAAGACCTTTTAGCTTTGACAGTGGTTTGCAGTCTTGGCCTCCCCAGCCTCACCCTTACTGACCTTCTTCATTATAATAGTCAGTATCTTTGTTCCCCTCTCTGTTTAAGCCCTCTTTTTACCCCACTAAATTGTTTATGTGATTCCCAAATCCAAGACCACCTTTTCAAAAAAGTGTTCCTGATGTGCCGTCCAAGGAACTGTTGATACCTGCATTCTCTTTCCCCCACCCTCATCCCAGTCTTATCACACTGTTGGATTCAGTTCCCTTGTTTCATGATGCCTGTTGTGTTATGTCATGTGCCAGAAAACATTTCAAGGATGGATGAAAGTATGTGACCTTCCTCCCTCCAACTAGATAAGTAGCCTAAAATGTCCTTTATATTCAGCTAAGCTTGTAGGGCTCAAGATGATAAGTTTTCATTCCTGGACTGTATGTGTGGGTGGAACTGAAGCCAATTTCCTCCCTTTAGATAATCAGCTTAAAAAAATGTCTTTATGTTTGCTAAAAATCATCCTAATAATTTTTAAGGGAAAAAAATGTAGCTACATTATCCACAGGAAGAAGAATATATCTGAACTGTGTCACTTTATTATTGTGATAGCTTACATGACATCTCCCGTATGCTTTCTGGAAAGTAAATGCACACTGTGAGTAAGGATCTGTTTTCTTTTACCAAATATCAACAGCATTGTGCTTCTCGAGCCCCTATTTTCCTAAACAATAAGATCCTTTTATATTTACATTCTTCAGCTTTCTGGCTGTGTCTGGTTTTCCTCCTATTTTATTTCTCATTTAATGCCAAGACATGCCCCTAGAGAATCCCCCCAGTGCAACAGAGGCGGCTTGGAAAGTCCCAGAAATTATCAATTGAATGACTACAAAATTGTCAGTTTCAATTACAGCTGATGATATGAGTACAACTAGAATATTAGACATTAAATGTCAGCTTTGAACATTGTCTCTTCTTATTTATGCCTTCCTGTTTAGATATTAAAATTCTCAAGGAACAAAGACTGAAATTTGTTACATTTTATATGTCACAACATTTACCATAATATAAAGGTTCTGGTTAGCATTGAAATCTGAAAAATGAAGAATTGGAACAAGCAAAATTTAGAGACAACAGTTACTGTTCTCCTTAATTTTTATTTCCTTCTCTTTAGTTTCCCCCCCAGATCTTAGGTTATTTTTTCTGTATTTTACAAAGACCAAGTTGCCTATGCAGCAAAGGGTTTTTGTATCTGACATGGAGAATGCCATGCTGAAGTGTAGAAAAAATCAACTTTTTTTTCTCTTTGGAATATAAACTTTATGTCGTTTAGCTGTTTATTTCTTGAGACTCTACATATGTAATTTATGGCTATATATAAAAAAAGTTTGGCTTTCTTAATGTAGTTACTTTCTAAAACTTCCTGTGCCTTTACTCACTCCTTCAATTCTTGCTTTCCTTTGACTTCTGAGATTGAAATATCTCCTAGTGGGATACTTGCCAGACTTGGATGTCTGGTTAAGATTTCATATTTTTCACGAGTGAAGATGTGACAGAAATGCTCATGGGAGATGGACAAAGTATTCTTTGAAAGAAGGGCAGAAAAAAACACACAGAAGAAATGGGTTCTGTGCAGGAGCTTAAATGGCCAAAGGCTGAAGTCAATTTTTAGGAGCCTAAGAACACTTAAAACACTGTATATGTCAGATGTCATTTAGAATCTCTTCCATAAATTATCCCATTCACAGAAAAACTATGCCAAAAAAAAAAAAAAGAGGTTTAAAACTGTTAGTAAGTTGCCCAAATAACAGCTAGTAAAAATGGCAGAAATGGGATCAAACTGAAGCGGTGATGCTAGAACCTTTGCTTTCCATTGCATATTATTCTCTAAGTTATTCAGCATAAGAGAGTTTTCAATAAAGTCCCAACCTAATTGGTTTGTTCTTATATGAAACAGAGTCTCTTTTAGCAGACTTTGGTATTGATAAGCCTGAAAGGATGAGCAGATCAAAGTGTCATATTCCTCTCATCCTGCTAAGATATATAGCTGGGACATGTGCACTTAGTAGGTGCTCAGATTGTTGAATAAATAAATGGGTGTTATGTGTGATTGATTGATGCTATAGTATGGATGCCTCCCTGCACTCTTTCAACTTTTATAACTATGATGATCTATGTTATTATACCTAGGGCTATCCTCACAAACCAAGCAAATGTATGAAACTCAATGTTATAGAAAAAACTCAATGCATTGTTCTTAGTGTTTTAATTTCTCCATGCCCCAGCAAACTCTTCATGACCTGCCGTCAGCCCACAGATTGGTTTGGGGGAACTGCTGAATATACAAGAACTAGGTAGTTCAAAGTTCCCTGTATTCGGGACATGCTGTTCATTCCTCTGGCCACCCACCACGACAATTCCCTTCCAGCCATTTATGGAGCACATTCAGCTGAACACATAGTAGTTCAGGATTTGAGATGCCAGAATGATTAAGACACAGTCTGGGCTCCCAAGCCGAGTGACCTAGTTGGGGAAAGAGATGTGCTCCCCTATCATCACCCCTCACACACACACATTACCTACAATATGGTTTCACAAGAAGACTGCTCATTGCCAAGTGTGTGAGTGACAGCTGACAGTCTTATGAGAGCTCCCTTGTAGGTAACGAACAGTTTTTCTCTTCCTGCTTTTAAGATTCTCTCTTTGTCCTTAAACTTTTTCATCTTAATCATGATGTATCTTGGTGTGGGCCTCTTTGGGTTTATCTTGTTTGGGACTCTCTGCACTTCCTGAACTTGTATGTGTATTTCCATCACCAGGTTAGGGAAGTTTTCCATCATTATTTTTTTAAATAGGTTTTCAATTTCTGGCTCTCTCTCTCCTTCTTTTGGGACCCCCTGATCCATGATGCAAATGTTGATATGCTTGAAGTTGTCCCAGAGGCTCCTTACACTATCCTCATTTTTTGGGAATACTTTTCTGATTATATGTCTTTGCTTCCTTATATTCCAAATCACTGTTTTGATTCTTGGCTTCATGTACTCTATTGTTGATTTCCTGTAAATTATTCTTCATTTCAGTTAGTGTATCCTTCATTTCCAACTATTTTTCTTTTTTTATGGTTTCCATGTCCTTTTTTATGCTGTTGAAATTCTCTCTGGTAGAGTAGCCTAATGTAGTAGGTGTCCTGTAGGGTCCAGTGGCACAACCTTCTCCTTCACCTGAGCTGGGCACTTCAGGTGTTCCACCCCCAACACCCCCTGTGGGATGTTTTTTTATCCGACACATGTGGGTATGAAACCAGCCCATTCCATGTCTCTACCCCTCCTACCAGTCTCCATGTCGCTTATTTATATCCTTAGTTGTAGGATTTGTTCAGCTAGATTTCAGGTGGTTCTGCATGATGATTGTTCTGTAGTCTAGTTGTATTTTTGATGTGGTTGTGGGAGGATGCAAGTGTTATATTTACGTATGCCACCGTCTTGCCCGGAAACACTAAATTCTTTCTTTAAGCCTTCTGATTCTGTTGGCTGGAGTCTTCTGGATTGCAGTGCTCTGTGGCCAGGATTTCAGACAGTCCTTATCTGTTGCTTCTTCTCCCCAGTGTCCAACAAGCACCCATTCGTGGACAGCAATCTTCTCTACCAGTTCAGAATGAACTTCCGGCGGAGGCGAAGACTCATGGAGCTGCTCAATGAAAAATCCCCTTCCCAGGAAACGCATGACAGTCCCTTCTGCCTGAGGAAGCAGAGCCACGACAATCGGAAATCTACCAGTTTTATGTCAGGTAAATCAGTTTCATTGTTTATCTGATCACATGTTTTTGTCTTTTGAGAAATAGTATAGTCATAATTCCCCTTTGTGAAATTCTGTTCCCCAGCAAATTTTTATTTATTAGTAACCAAGAAGTATGCAAAAGAAAAAAGACAACCAAGTTGTTCCTGGGGAGTCAAATTAGATTATCATGAAGTCTGCTTTATAAAATTATGTATTTGAATTATAGAAGACCTCTCATGTTCTCACTCACAACTTATTTACTTTATATTTATAAACAATTGTCAGCCTAAGGTTGGCCTAAGGTTGACTATGGTTGGCCTAAGGTCTGGAAGCTCTGGGCTTAACCTGAGGACAAAATGTTCCACGGGTGTCTTGGCTATGTATAGGGAGTGACACTGAGAACACTTGCAACTATATTGAGAATGTTCTGTGCCCCTGTCAGTGAGTCAAGCTTGGTTGCATGAATTTTCTCATACAATTCTCACAAAAACTTGAAGAGGAAGGACTTTTATCCCCATTTTATGGGTGCCCTAAGTTGTGGTCTTCTGCAAATTTGGGGGAACTATTCATGTTCTTACTAGTACTAAGGTTTGTCTGTTTTTTAAATGGGCCCAACTGAATAAGTAATGATGATAGGAAGGAGGAAATAGTAACCATGGTCACCATAAAAGCCAGCTTTTATTTTGTGCTTCTCATGTGCCAGGCATTAAGCTGAGTTCTCTCCATGGCTTCTTTCATTCATCATATACACCTGGCTCTCCTCTCCTTTGTTGAGAGCCAGCCAACTACATGGCAGAGAGAACCAGATAAGATCATTGAAGCCTCTGTCTCACATGCACTTTCAAAGCCTAAATATGTGCTGTGTATTTTAATCTCCTCTTCAGTGGCTCTGGGTGATTCATGATTTCATGTGGAATCAGGAGGCATTTATTAGTACTGTTAATTCATTAAGTATATAGCCAGCACTTAATTTACTTCCTTCCAGGGACTGCTCAGCATGGGCATAGTCATTCTCGAAATAATATTTTATGTAGCTGAGTACTTACATATATTATATTATCCACTCCTTGCACCAATCCTCTGAGATAGCATCATTCCCACTTTACAGATGGGGAAACTGAGGCTCAGAGAACTGAAGGGAATGGCCTCAGGTTGTACAGTTGGTAAGTGGCAGAGTTGCTACACAAATCCTTGCTTTTCTCACCCTGAAGACAGAGTGCTTTTCCTGGCACAGGTGACTCAGCTCGCTGTACCTTGCAGCTGAAAGCCCACGTGCCCTAGGGAACCAGGACCACCGCCCCGGGTGACCATGTGTTTCCCGCCCGCAGTCAGCCCCAGCAAGGAGATCAAGATCGTGTCGGCCGTGAGGAGGAGCAGCATGAGCAGCTGTGGCAGCAGCGGCTACTTCAGCAGCAGCCCCACCCTCAGCAGCAGCCCCCCTGTGCTCTGCAACCCCAAGTCTGGTGAGTGGCGAAAGGCGGCCCCTTTCTGACTGTGCCCTTGGGGGGCTTGGGCAGATGTGCGGGGGCTGGGTTCCCCGGGAAGCAGATTCTCAGAGCGCGGGAGACCAGTGTGTGGGGATCTTACTACCGAGCGTCCTGGGGTCAAGACCGTTTGTTGGAAGAGAAGGCTATCGGGTGGGGCAGAGGAGAACTGAGCTGCAAGCCGTCTCAGCGAAGGCTGCAGGGGATAGCCCTTCACGGTTGTCCAGATTTGGGGTGAGGTGGCCGGGCCTTTGTACCTTCATGTTGACCAGTCATTAGGTGTTGGCTGCCCCTGGGAGGAGGGTGTGACTTTGAGCAAGAGAGATAGTTGCAAAAACTGTTGAGAGCATTGGCATCTGAGAGCTGTCTGCCACTGGCAGCCCCAGCAGCTGGGAGGAGCCCCTCAGTCAGTCCTGAAGTAGGGTTTGAGCAGCATATCAGTGTTCCACCCAGCGGGGGAACTAGGGATTCCCCAGACTGCAAGTGATGCCAAGATCTGTGGGGCCCCCGCTCCCCTAAGGAGGAAGCGTGGTCTATGCAAACCCAACTGTACCTGGAATTGACTCTTGGTGCCTGGTGGTTTCAGACTGTACTCATCAACCTCTATGGCCTTTACATTCCAGAAACAATCTAGGCACAGAGATTGTTGATGAACTTGGACTGAGAAGCAATGCTTCCTTGACCTAATTAGCTCCTCAGCCCCACAAGGGCCTGTAATCCATTGATACTACCACCTTGACACTGCCCCTGACCCCCCTCCTTCCCAGGACTAGATTGCATGGTCCTTCATGATAACCACTGCCTTGAAAATACCCTCAACTCCGTTTGTTTGGTGCTCTGTCCATCCTTAGTTGAATATATTACCTTCAGGAAAGAGACTTTGTTTCTTTGTTCATGTTGTTTCCTCATCACCAGATGTTGGGGATACAAAGATGAGAGGTCATGACCCTTCCCTCAGTGACCACATCATCTCTTTGGAGAAGAAAAATCGTTATGCATTAGTGAGAAGAAGGACAAGTAGATGTTGTTAGATGGGCTTTACGAGAAAACGCTCTCATCTAATGCTGTTATGTAGGCAGTTGAGTATTTTTTAAAAATATATTTTTATTGATTTTTAGAGAGAAAGGAAGGGAGAGGGAGAGAAAGAAACATTGATGTGAGAGCGGAACATCGATTGGCTGCCTCCTGCACTCCCCCTACCGGGGATGGAGCCCGCAACCCAGGCATGTGCCCTGTCCCGGAATCAAACCGGCAGCCTTTCGGTGCATGGGACGGCCCGACCAACTGAGCCACACCGGCCAGGGCAGGTATTTTTTTTAACCTAACTTTTTTTTTTTTTTTGCTGCCTTCTGGAGGGTTAGCTGTAAGAATAAAGTTCTAACTTGCAAGTCAGTGAAGAAACTTGCTTCCACACTGACTCTGGCTGGAAAATCTTGGAGCACTCAAGTATACTGGGTTTTTTGATTAGTGTAGCATTTCTGTTAAGGCAGACTCAGAAAAGAGAACTTTATTATTACTAGTAGGATATTGGAAGTCCTGATAGACATCTGATATTAGAAGTGAAAGAGGTCCTTTCAGGAAAGGGTCAGTGCTAAGTCATTTTACATGTTTTTTGCATACAATAGTGGAATATGAACAAAGCGTTAATTACTTAAATTAATCCATCTTCCCTGAGGCAGGTTTGTTCTGTTTTCTCTTTCTCCTTGCCCCTTGGCTCACAGGGAAATGTTTGCTGATATGCAGGCAGAAAAGTCGGGTTCCCTTTTTGGTGTCTTTAAGGACCAGAGCTATCAGGACTTAATTGTGATTCAGAAGTCCTACCTCTTACCCATATTCTGACAAGCTTCTCCTTCATTCTTAAGAGGGATCCCAAGATGCAGTGATTTCATCTGTGATTTTTTTTTCTTCAAGCAGATAAACAGGCCTTTCTACTAAGGCATTTAAATTTAATCCTTATACTTTATACATCAGTACTGTATACAAATGCCCTAAACCAGAGGGAAAAAAAAGTGCTACGGGTACTACCATAATCTACCGGTATCATGGTGATGGGTAAATACATTTTAAAGGCTGCAAAAAAAGAAAGCCAAAATATAATTCCCTAGGCTTCAAGGTTTTTATATTTTTCAACAGAAGAAAAAGGTGAAGTATGTTAAAAGCCAGAAATAACAATTGTTGGTGAAGATATGAAGAAAAGGGAACCTTTGTGCAGTGTTGGTAGGAATGTAAATTGGTACAGCCACTGTGAAAAATAGTATGGAGGTTCCTGAAAAAATTAAAAGTAGAATTACCATTTGATCTAGCAATTCTACTTCTGGGAATTTATCTGAAGGGAAACAAAATCACTACCTCAAAAAGGTATCTGCACCCCCATGCTTACTGCACTATTATTTACAATAGCCAAGACATGGAAACAACCTGAGCATCCACCAATGGATGAATGCATAAAGAAGTCAGATGTATATCATTTATATAATATTTATATAAAAGTTATATAACATATATATATAAATATTACTTAGCTGTGAAAAAGAAGGAAGTTCTGCCATCTGCAAAAACATGGATGGACCTTGAAGGTATTATACTAAGTGAGATAAGTCAGACAGAGAAAGACAAATACTATATGATCTTACTTATATGTGGAATCTAAAACACAAAAACAAAAAACTCATAGATACAGAGAACAGATTGGTGGTTGCCGGAGGTGGGGGGATGGTGTGGCCAAAATGGGAGAAGCGGTCAAAAGGCACAAACTTCTAGTTATAAAATAAACACTGGGGATATAATGTACAGCATGGCGACTATAGTTAATAACATTGTATTGTGTATTTGAAAGTTGCTAGAGAGTAGGTCTTAAAAGTTCTCATCCCAAGAAAATAACCCTTGTAACTACGTGCGGTGATGGATGTTAATCCACTCCTTCCCCCTCCCCCTGGCCCTCTCGCGTCCCTCCGCCAGGTTCCGTTTCTTCTCCTTGCCATAGCTCTGAGTCGGGTGTAGGCTTACTTACGCTTGCTAATGTTTTCTGTCTTTACTCAGCTAGAGCATAAACGGTGAGGCAGGGATCTTTCCCCCTTTTGTTCCCTGATGGTCACACATGAGGCCTTCAGTAAAATATCTGCGGGATGAATGAATGAGGCCTCAGAAGGGTGCACCTTGACTGTGTGTGTGTCTTACAGTGTTAAAGAGGCCCGTCACCTCTGAGGAACTCCTGACTCCCGGAGCACCATATGCAAGGAAGACATTCACGGTACGCTCAGTGTTTGGTTTTTCTCTTGCACGGCTCGTTTTTTGGGGGACTTGCCAGCATGTCAGTGTGCCAGCATGCATTTTACAGATGGAGTTGAACAACCTCTTAATTTTCCTTTTTTTGGGCATAATTATAATAGTGGGCTTTCTGGACCTGTAGGCACTAAAATGCTTTAAGACTTGACATGACTTATTATTAATACAGCATTTTAAACTCCTTTTGGTGTGTCCTTAAAAAAATTGTGTAATATAATTACAGATTTTAGGGCAAATGGCAGTACAAATAGTCAATAATTCCTTCTGGGTTACAGTTCATTCTAAAAATCATTTAAGACATTAGGGAGTCGTTAGATAGAGAACGAGAACTGTGGGATAAGTTGTTCTGCCATAAGGAACGGTGCTTTTGACAAGGTTAGCATCACACCTGATTGGGGAGCACTGCGTACCTGTGAGCACCTCCTGACCACCTGCCCCTTCGTGGAGGTCCCTCAGCCTTCCTCCCGCTCCTACCTGCCCCATTGGTTTTCCTCAAACAGAATCTAAGTGCTCTGCTTGACAGCACCTCACCCACCCTCCTTCCCTTGGCCCTTCACCTCTCCATCGACCTCCTCTTTAAAACACTTCTGCTCTAACTTTTGTGTTATGGACTCGGGGGGAAAAATCTATGCACACCCATTTACACTGCAAACATTTGTCTAGGACTCCTTCCCATTCTGAACACTGAGGAGTTAAAATAGGATGGTCCCAGTCATAACCAGTCAGTATGAAAACGCACTGCTCATATGCCTGCCTCAGGGGAAAAGGTCAGCGGCATTTGGGGGTGAAACTAGGTATAATGAACTAATAGCAGCAAACCCTAAAGCCAGTGAAGTGCCTCGAAGTCTTTTTGAGAATGTTCACTGACGTTTCATTGGTTTCCTGCCTTTCCTCAGTGTCTAAGCATTCAAGAGACAGCTGATTGTATTTTTAAAGTATTTCTTTTTCATTTTAAATGTCAATGCCAGTCTCACTAGGCACCGACTGTGAATGTGTTTCGTCCGTACTGCAAAGACCTGTCTGGGAGCCGCCCAGGGAACATACCTGCCATTTCTAACAATGATTCTATAGGAAAAGGCATCCTCCACTTTCAAACACTTTTAGACCAGCATCTACCTGTAAATTGTGAACTTTGTGTACTTTTTCACTTTCTTTTGTTGGTGGAGAAAATTGTGTTTCGAGAAAGCCAAGACTCTTCACATTTCTCACCATAAGTAATTTAAATTGTTACTTTAGACCACAGGGACGTAGCAGGGTCATCCAGAAAGTATCATTTGGATTTAGGGGAAAAGAGCAACCCAACAGAAATTGGCTCTGGAGAGAAGATTCAACCACATATTTAAGAACCTTCTAAACTTCCCATTTGACTCTGATATGAAATTGTATAGCAGCCTGAGAGAGAGGCAACCTGCCGGTTATTTACTGAGTGGCGCCCTCGCAGAAGAAGCTGCTTTCTGCCAAACAAGTGTTTCTTGACCACATTTTCTGCATCGATATGCCTGTGTTTATGATGGAAGCAAAGTGCTCCTTCCGCTCCTGCCGGGGTCGAGATAAAACAGAGAAGAGATCTGTCATGGCAGGCCCTTCACCCTGGGCTGGCTTTCTCTGCCTGGGAAGGGCAGGCGAATTGCCAGGGGCCGCCTGCTGATGGCTCTTTGTGGTTTTCCTGCAGATTGTCGGTGACGCCGTGGGCTGGGGCTTCGTGGTGCGAGGAAGTAAGCCGTGCCACATCCAGGCCGTGGACCCCAGTGGCCCCGCGGCCGCCGCGGGAATGAAGGTACCTCCTGTGAAGCGGTGTCTGAACACTTCTCGCTTTGTTTTATTGTTGGTGCCATCTGAACTTTGGCACCCTAAGTGTTTGGTCCCATTTTTTTCAAGTTTCCTTTTCCCTTTCTGAATGGGGTTGAAATGGAGCCAAGACTGTGTGAGGTAGCAACTGGGAGGACAAGTTTTCCTGCCCCTCTCACTGTGCCTCCTTGGTCTCCAAACCTCCCGTGGTTTTTCACATTGCTTCCCTTAACCAACACTGAGCTTGGAAAAAGGTTTCTTTTTGCGTAAATCTTATATCATAACTCTACTACTTCTGTTCTATACCAAGTACATTCCCATGGGAAAAGATCTAGATTCACGTTTTGGTTCTGCTGGTTTCTAGCTCATTGACTTTGAATTAGTTTGGTAACATCTCAGAGCCAGGCCTCCACTCTGGAATGAAAGCCATACTCTTTCTGCAGTTTTAGGAATTAAATATGTAGAAACACTTGATGAAATACAAAGAACTACACAAACATCAAAAAATGGAATGAATTGTGTAAGATTTTTGAAAGTAATTTTCACTTATTTTTAGTACTAAAGTAGTACATACATAGTCAGGAAAATTTGGAAAATACAGACAAATAGAAAAAAAATTACAATTGCCTCTAATCTTTCCTATCTCAGAGACAACCAATGTTAACATTTTAAGCAACTTCATTGAAGTATAATTGACTTATAATAAAGTGTAGCACCATTAACATTTTGATTTATATGCTTCCAGACTTCTTGCATGTATGCATATATATGTATCTATCTATATAGATACACACATATGTATATATACATCAATATATAAATATACACGCAAATTGTTTCTTATTTATACCAAAATATGATATAAGAGAATGTTGAGTGCATTGGCTCTCTGCTTCAAACCACCTTTATGTAGCTCAGTGGGGTTTTTTCTGTCATCTGTAAAACATCCTGCAGAGGACATTTATCTCATGATGATCTGGGGCCACAGGACACAAAAGGCTTGAAGGCTACAGATTACTCCCCTGACCACTTCTTCACCACTTTCACCCCTCCCATCAGTCCTTTTCTTAGAGCAGTAACCAGTGAAGCAACAGGCACAGCTTGGATTTGCACAGCTCTGGCTTCCAGCACCTTCCCTCTGGCATTGCTTTTCCTCCTGGAAAAGAAAGGTGGGCGTGGAGCCTGGCTCACTGAGCACAGAGCACAGATTACCGCCAGCCTGGGTAGTCAGTGCTGGTATGATTAGGGGTTGACTCTGCCCCCCAATCTGAACACCTCGCTCATACCGGGAGGGGAGGCGCAGGCCCCCCAGGTCCTGTGTTCTGCACAGGTTACAGAAGCCTGTTGGTTAAGTGGTCCGTGTGAGAGGCCCTTCCTGCCGCCTCAGTTCTGCAGAGGGCACAGCACCAAAGGATCCCAGAGCAGGAAAGTTGGCTGGGAGCGTAAAGGGCGAGCGTTTGTGTCTGTGCCGAGGCAGATTTTTTCATTTCTAATGGAACTCTTGGCTGTAGGAAGAGTTTTATATTTTATTTCCACAGTAAAGTACCTAGGATAAATTGTTTTTGGCAGGGTGCTTTAGTCCTGAGCGTGCACTCACTTGCCCACGGGGCTTTGACTTAAGCTCATTTCCTTTGGGGAAAACAAGGGATTTATATTGCAGCTGAAGACCTTGTTTTGCTTGGCCAAGTGTATTGATTTTAGTGCATCTTCATTGATTAACATGCATAACTGTTCTAGGCATTGTCCACTGATTAATTAATTAACTCCTTAATGTATATACCCTGATAGATGGGTAGCCTGGTATATTTTTTTCAATTCCATAAGCTCATATTCTTAGCTTCTTGAGGGTGTACAGTAGTTTCCATGTGTTGTAGAGCAGTATAGAGTTCACTAGAGCAGCATTTCCAAAACGTGCTACACAGCTCTCTGGTCCAACAAAATATCCTGTCCTAAGGTTCTGTGATCAAAACAGTTTGAAGCTGCTGTATACTTTATTCTTCTTTTGGAAATTCATAAAACACATTAGCATATTATAAATTCTGTTACATCCAGCAGGGGGGAAAACTGTTTAAATTGCCTATCACAACATTTTATCCTTAATAGAAACACACCAGTGGAATCTTAAGGTTGTTAAGATATAGCGCTATAATTGTTCTAGTCTGCCTTTTGTCAAACTCTGTATTGGAATGAATATATATCTCTGTCTATAATCTATCTATCTATCTATCTATCTATCTATCTATCTATCTATCTATCTATCTATCATCATCTGTATATGTAGTTTGAATTGTAGGATTAGTTAAATGAAAGTGACAGGGAATACCATGCCCTTCCATAAACCTTACCTGTGTGTTTTCATTTAAATTGCCCAGCACATTATTTTTTTATAGAAAATACTGAGTAAATTATTTCCTATTTTACCATATGTATTGTGTGTAGAATAACTGCACTTATATAAAGAGCCACTTATGTAATCCAATCCTCAAGGCTTATTTCCCTGACCTGTCTCATCAGCACAGCCGTTGTGTGGGAAGCTGCAGGCTGCGTGTCTGGTTGTGTGAGGTGGGAATGTGGGTGCTGACCCTACAGGAACATGCCCTGACCTGGGCCACGATCAAGCTGCTTGGTCTGGCTGGTAGCGATTGTCCAAAATTCTGGCCAGAAGCTTCCTCTTGGTACCTCTGACTGGCAAGAGCTGGCCCAGGACAGTGCAAAGTGCCAGGCCCTTTCTGTGCATGAGTTCATTTAATACCAGCATCTAAACACTAAAACCCTGAAGGAAGAAACCTGTTCCAGGAGGACTAATTCTATTTCTTACCTCTTTTTATCTGCTTTGAGAAGAAATAAAGTTCCTTCTAAAGCTAGTCCACAGGCTACAGTCTAATGACTGTCACTCACTTAAATATGGCTTCCCAGCCTTTAATGACATCTTTCCTCCCTCCCTGCCTCCTTCCTTTCCTTCTTCCTTCCTTCCTTCTTTCTTCCTTCCTTCCTTCCTTTCCTTCTTCCTTCCTTCCTTCTTTCTTCCTTCCTTCCTTCCTTTCCTTCTTCCTTCCTTCCTTCTTTCTTCCTTCCTTCCTTCCTTTCCTTCTTCCTTCCTTCCTTCTTTCTTCCTTCCTTCCTTCCTTTCCTTCTTCCTTCCTTCCTTCTTTCTTCCTTCCTTCCTTCCTTTCCTTCTTCCTTCCTTCCTTCTTTCTTCCTTCCTTCCTTCCTTTCCTTCTTCCTTCCTTCCTTCTTTCTTCCTTCCTTCCTTCCTTTCCTTCTTCCTTCCTTCCTTCTTTCTTCCTTCCTTCCTTCCTTTCCTTCTTCCTTCCTTCCTTCTTTCTTCCTTCCTTCCTTCCTTTCCTTCTTCCTTCCTTCCTTCTTTCTTCCTTCCTTCCTTCCTTTC